CAGTTGAAAGTATTCTAAATGTCCATCCCCGTCTAGCTATGATGCTAGTTAGCCAACTTTGGCTAAAGCTTACCTGTCGAGGAGAAGAGTAGCCACTTCGACATCTGATTTCAAATACTTCTCCGCTTTCAACCGTCTCCACCGTTCAAAAGCATCTCCTATATAGACCGTCGCTTTGTGTTGAGTTTTGTCTTGACGTTTTTGGGAATCATAACGAGGTCATTTGGGTTTAGTCGCACCGTCAGCCATTGTAGCTCAGTCGTAACTGGAACTGATGCTGAGACTCTACTGACTGCGTGACTGGTAGACGGCGGTGGGTGGCGCAACGGGCCAAAACACAATTCAAAACATAAACATGATTTGCAGACCGTAAAAATTTTTTTTAAATGCGAATATTCTGGCTGTACTATTGTTGTCGGTGAGATCAGTATGTTATTCCTTATTCTCTGTGACATATTAGGAGGATTTTACAACTATTTGCTTTAGATTTCTTACATATAGCTCCTTTAACTTCGCCATCTTTCTGGATGAAATGGTCGCACACAGAGCTTTGTTTAGCACACTTCATTTTGTTTTAAATCCTGGTCTTTGTTTACTCGTCAAGAGACCCCAGACCCGCGAAAAATCTTGCACAGCAGATGTGTGTGTGTGTGTGTGTGTGTGTGTGTGTGTGTGTGTGTGTGTGTGTGTGCGCGCGCACACCGATACAGAGAGCAGAGGAGAACTGTAAACGCGCGACCATATAGAGATAGAAATGACGTGCCGTCGTGTAAACAATATCATCACGTGTGCCGCATACTCGTGATTTCAATTTTGACCAAAATAAACGTGATTATGATTTTTTCCATAATCGAGCAGCCCTAGCTCCTAAAAAAAGCTTAGTCAGGAGCCCTGGAGGTCATTTAAGTTTACCTTTCCTATAGAATGGGTCTATACCTTGTCCTTTTATTAAACAAACTAAATAGCCTTATGCCATTTATCTTATTTACTCGCATGTTTACAATTCTCCTCTGCTCTCTGTATCGCGCACGGTGGAGTTCCGCCCCGATGTGCGCACAAACATACACACGTATAAAGGCAGGTGCACGCACACACACAGATGAGCATACTCCCACCAGTGGACAGAGAGCAGCTAGCAGCAGCTTGTTGTTTATCCTGCTGTGATTTTATTTTATTTTTTTTCGTACAAGTTTTCGATTTAAAGCGACACAATGGAGTTTACTGAGCCCTTAAAATATATATCCAAGATCTTTGTGATGGTACATCAACTCACAATAGGTTGGATGACACCTCCGTCATTGCTTGAGAGCGTCTGTTTCGCTTGCACTGACACTATGCAGTTTCGGGGTTCGGGTAGGAACCCAGACACAAAAAGGACTACAAAATTTGGCTGCTTTACGGCATACGTCATATCCCCCTCCTCTCTTTAGAGTAGCATAGCTGAACCGAGGTGAACGAAGTTAGAAATGCTCCTCATGGCATTCTTTTCGGTTAGACATCCAGCCGCTCAGCTGTAGGCTGTGGGCGCCCAACCACTGGAGAGGTTGCTGCTGCCGCTGCTAGGCTACCGCTGGTTAGCGGCTCAGTGGAGGAGACGGAGGATGGAGACTGTGTTAGCCGCCGCTCAGGCCTGAGTAATGGTAACCAAGCTGGCGACCTGGACAGCAGCAGTAAGGGAGCTCCCCGCAGCGGTGAGGACCAGGCTGGCCATAGTGACAGTGGTGACAGGTGCCCAGGGAATGACGGTGGAGTCCAGGTGAGTTGTTGTGGTAACGTCAGCTGATGTAGAAGCTGCTGTGGCCACCCAGTTACCGGCACAGGGAGCCAGACTAACATGGCTTGTTGCCGTGGCTGTGCTAACATAAGCCATGGTTGGGCTAGCCGAGTCGGTTGGGCCGGGTGTTGTGTCTCTGGACTAGATATGTCCATAGGTGTCGGACCAGGGTTTATTTTTACATCTCTAGCCAGAAGGAGAATGACATGAGATGAGATGCACAAGCCCCATGAGACGGCCCGTGCCTTTGTAGGTTGGTGTGTACCTGGTGGCGTTCTTGCTCGGTTAGCATTCGTGAATCTTGTAAACAATAGGTGCTGGCTGCCCTTAGCTGGAGAGTAGGCCTGAGGGGTATTCCAGGTAGGAGGTTCAACAAACTCTGAGTCTAACCCAGAACTCTGAGTTGATTTACCCTGAGATGGGAAACTCTGAGTTACCGGTTCCAGAACAGCTGATCTGAGTTAGTTAAGTCAACTCTGAGTATGTTCATTCTGAGTTAAGCCGACAATAAAAAGCCATCATCAATGGAGCTCCGACTCCATGATTCACCATGGCAACAGGTAAATAAAAGACAGCGCCTCCATTTTAATCCAGTGGATGTAGAGATATTAATGCATGTGTAGCAGACGGTGCACGTTTATCTTTAAAAGAAGAGCCTGAGTCAGAGAGAGTAAAGTGTAAATAAGTTAACCATAAAGTTAATAATAAAGTTTTATTCAGTGTTGTCCGTTTATTCATCATTTATCAGACCTACATTTCCTTAATGAAGATGAAGTGGTGGAATCTGACTGTGTATCAGGCTGTAGATACATTACATTATATTAATAATATATAATAATATATTTGTTCAGATTTAATCTGATGAGGAAAAACACAGGAGGCAGCAACTGAAAAATAGGAAGATTTAAAACATATAGGCTAGGCTATAGATCAAAGACATAAAGACATGACTGTAAACTCACAGTCTGACCCAGTAATAATATGTTTGGTGATTTGCACTTGAAAAGACGTTGAGGTTAAAATACATAGATTTTAAAATGTTGGACATCTGTTTGTATCTTGACTCAACAGCATTCAGTAACTTAATTTCAGCTACAAATGTAGTAAATTTAAAGACACTGAAATGATGCACCATTGCTCACTCAGAAATATTAACATATAATCCCCAATATTAGGCTATAGGAATTATGTTCCATCAGTGCAACAAATGACATCAGTGATAGAGATCATTAGTCATTGATACTACGTGTCTAAAGCTTCATACCGATTTTTAAAATTTAAATAATTAGACCTACACATTATGTGCAATAAACATTTGGGAGCTGCTCTAACAGACTGACAGTCTGATCCTTGTGCACAGTGTTATAAAAAATAATAAATATAAAAAGGACAGAGGTTTGATTCTGAGCTGAGGATGAATTCTTGCTGTGTAATATTGTGTAAAGAAAAACTGAGGTCCAAAGAAATGATTGATGTGCATAAATTCAATAACTTAAGACAGTCCTGAGTAATAAACTAATATCCAGCAGGATTTAGACTGTGACAAACGGTAAATCTCCGCTAATTAATGCGCTTCGATACAAGCTTTGACACGGACTGAATGAATGAGGAAATGAAACAGCGTGTAAGAGGGAGGAGACAGAGAAAAACTCAGGGTTTATTGAAGAAAACCTGTCAGTGAGCAGGTTATGTTCACAGAGTCTGTTACCATGGTGACTGACTCAGAGTTTCAGTTACCTCTCTTTCTGGAACGGATAACTCAGAGTTTCCCTCATTTCAGGGTTAACTTACTCTAGGTTTTCACATAACCCGCTTTCTGGAATACCCCTCTGATCATAACTTTTAAACATTTTCAACAAATGGCAGAAAGATTTTTGTGACAGTTGTAACAGACAATACCGTTTTTCGTCTGTAGGGGGACCCCGTGAGGTAAAAAGCGCAATCCTCCATTGTGTTGCTTTAACTTGGGCTTTAAAAATTTTGCACAATATTTTTAGGCTATATTGTGATACATGGTACACATCTCAGTATTTTGAAATCTCTCCTATACTGCTGTAGACAACTAAAACACAAAATATTTAATGAACTACAATTACAATAAAGTATTGTTATAATGAAACAATCCAAATCTGGTGCTGTTATTTTAAAGCATCTGGCTCATCTCGGGTTGGAAGTGTTGATGTTTTGGACTTGTATTGAAGCTTTGGTTAGCAGTTAGATGTTTGCAGCTAGCAGGAAGTTAAATTGTTGCCATCGTGCTTTTGGACATCAGGGTTTACTCACTGTGAGCTGGAGACACACTAACAGCTCTCCAGTTCATATATTAATAGTACTTGCAAGTTACACAATGTGACTAAATAGTCTGGACCCGTACAAGAACGGGCCTCGTCTTCTCATGCTATCATTAATCTCATTAAGTTAAACTGTTACCACAGCACCATTGCAGATGATGATTTAATCACACATGCTTTGTCCTGCTCACACTGTCGCCCAGGACAAGGCTATCTGGATGGGCAGAGGAGTGTGTGACGTATCATGTTTGTGAGTCTTTGTGTGTGTGTGTGTGTGTGTCTGTGAGAGAGCGAGAGAGCCGAAACGCCAAGTGAGTCTCCTCCTGGTGGCTTAAAAAGATGATGTGACCATTTATCCTCAGTGTTCGGGATATAGTCAATTTATACAGCCAAAACGTCAAGTATATTTGATATATCGCCCACCTCTAGATTTAACTATAGAAACGGCACTACATCTGTTAATTGCTTATTCGAAATATTAATGTGTGTGCATGTATCCAGGGCACAGAGGGTTTAGGTAAGTCTGCCCTGTGTCACCAGACTAGCCCAGTTCTGGTCAAGCTACTTTTCAGGCCTGGCTCAGTATTACAGTTGACATGTGATTGCAATGCAGAAAATACACTGTAAGAAATATAGTTCTTTGATGAAAGCAAAAAAAATAATGGCCAAAATAAGTGAATAATATTTTTCTACAAGTGCAGTTCATTCAAGAGTTAATTTTACTTCTTCTAGTATGTGTCTTGGTCCACCAGGCTAATTGAACAAGACAACAACAAGCAATTAACTCTGCTTCTCAGCTCCAGATTGAAAAACTACAAGGATTCATGTCATTCTACAGTCTTAGGTGCTTCTGACCTCTGACCCACTACTCCATAAGAATCACTGTCAACAAATATCCAATCAGTATTGTTATTAAGTTGTTGTCATCTCTGTAGGCTAACTTTGAAAAAGCAGCAGCTGAGGTGAAGCAGCTGAAGGCAAAGCCGATGGATGAAGAGATGCTGAAGGTCTACTCCCTTTTTAAGCAGGCCAGTGTGGGTGATGTCAACACAGGTGAGATGGCACTTGCTGCCTACTGCCACAAAAACACTGCAGCACTCTCAACACTTGGGGTGTAACAGCACATGCATTTGTATTAAATCGTTTGGTATGAGGCTTTTAGTTCAGTACACATTACAAACTGAACGATACGTTGAACTGTCCTATTCCATTTGGAAAATAAAGGTCTACAGCTTAAACTGTATTTAATATAATGCTCTCAGCAGCCCACAGGATGGAACAGGCAACATGCTCTCTGCCCCTCCCACCCCCCAAACCAGAACATTCTACTTTAGTGAGACACACTTGGAAGGCAGATTCGCTAAGCTAGCTCACCAGGATGGTTAATAACACCATTACCAGACCAGAAATAGAACAGTGTTTCCCATTCATTGACGAGACTATGGCGGCCCACCATAGTCTCCAAAACTCAGCCAGATATAAAATGCCTTCGGTAAATGAACGTCACTTTGTAGCGCACCGGCTGGAGCGCCTATTGACCCTCGCCCTCCCCCTCACCCTCCCCGGCCTCACCACAGATGTCACTTTCCTAGCGCTAGCGTGAGCTTGAATTGATAGAGCAGAACGTATTTTTAAGCAGAATACTGAGGAATACTGACATCCACTTCGTGAAGCATTCTTGGAAACACCCGGAAAAGTTCAGTAGAGAATTGTGTGGCTGTATTTAAGACAACTCTGAGCCTGCATGGCAACACACAGCACCATTGAAGTAAGCTCTGAAAACTTTATCTTTCCCATTTGGCTCATGGTAGTTACATGTAGGGATGTCACGATTATAGATTTTCTTGGTACGATTATTGTCAGAGAAATAATCACGGTTTTACGATTATCACGATTATTATGCATTAATTCATTTCACACTATAAATGTGTAAAATCACATGAACACTCCTTATAGATCTTTAAGTTTCATTTATTTCCATGCCAACATAACAAAAATAATATAACAACAAAGAAAAGTAACCAAAAATAGTGTGCGGACTCTACTTTTACTACATGCCTCTTTGTGGTCCAGCAGTCTAAGTTTTTTCTAGGATGTGCGTGTCTTTTTGTTCTCTTTAGATTACAGTTAAACAAATAAATTGAGAGCATATCTCCTGCAGTGTTAATAATAAATGAAACAGACATCATGCTGGAAGGACAAGTCCAACATTTACTCAACACAGATGGGAGGAAGCAAAAGGAGGTAATACTAATGCTAAATGTTCACTGACTGAGGACCTTGAGAAGACATTACGTATATCTTCCACATTGCACACTGACACTGAAACAGTATGACAACTAAAAAAAGGATTTGAACTTGTAACAGTCGAATATATGAAATGTGCCTTTAGCAGCAACGTCATCAAGCGCCTGTTATGATTTGAGTCTGTTGAGCGCACCCAACGCTGGTCGGACGTATATTTATGTGCTCCTGCTTTTTCTTTTATCTCTCAACACAACAGTGATGATTGTAAGTACGTGTGGCGACTATATTGTTCATGTATGAAAATGTAGTAGCCGTACAACCGGGCTTGGTAAGCTTGGAGTGTTTTTAAGTTGATGTAAAAATAAACAACGAGCATTTGTGAAATCCCGCACTCGTGTGGATGTGAGTTTCTGCCTGTCGTCTCACTCCAAAGAGCTACACGGACCCAAAACCATTACAACCTCACACTGTGTGTGCACAGACTGCAAAACTATCCATCAAAAAAGTTTTTGAGACGTGCCTTAGCTTGTCACGTTGGGGGAGGGAGTCTTCTTCATCCGTACTTCATCACTTGGAGACGCCGCTTGTGTAACTTTGTTTTCGTTCCATGCTAGTTGCGCTGACCTACTGCAGTGTTTCCCATTAATTAACGAAACTATGGCGGTCCGCCATAGTTTAATTTGACCCGCCATAGTTTCTAAATAAAAGATTTAGGCTGCCGAAAGTATTGACTTCTCATGATATAAATAATATCTCGAAGGCTGTAGCGTTTTGTGCCGATGTGCTCAGGCTGTCAGATCCAGCGCTCAACAGCAGGAGCGTTTCACTCCACTAAAAATACGTGTGTGCGAACTGTAAAAAATATTTAGGGGCACATGTGCGCATAAAAAAAAATCAGCCGAAGCAGCCTATATTTTTGTCAATAAAAAAATATGATAATCTAACCACAAATGTTGGAGGAACTCCAGCCGCCTTCCCTCTTCCCTCTTCCCCATGTGACACGGTTATGGGCGGTTTTCCAAGCCACTGTTGGCACAATGAATCTAAGTCCCACTGTTGGCTGGGTGGAAATAAGTCAAAGGGCTCTAGTTTCCCGGCGCAGCGAAGGGTGGCGAACCCCGCGCAGAGCTAGTTTTGAGCAGCGCAACCCGAGGTGCGCTCAGTTTGGTAGTTTGGCAGACCGAGGTGCGCTGAGATGGGTGTGGTGGCGCAGCAGGGGGAGGTGTCGACAGATCCAGCTTGGCGCAGTGACAGTTTCGTGCCAAAAGGCTTCGCTGAAGGTGCGCTAAAAGCTCGCCATCTGAAACCAGGTCTACTGTCAGCGCAGGGGGAGCGCAGCCGGTGTAAGCCGAAGTTTGGCTGACCGGCGGACAGTGCGCACACGTCACCAAAACCTCACAGGCAGGTTTCCAGAATATCAGGCACATTAACGATGCAATAAATAGCCACAAAACCAGTATTCAATGCAACTATCTGCAATCAGCACATAAATGTATCTCTATATCGACTGTCCCTTCACATCTAATGTCGGATCAAAGGGGATTGGCACGTTTGGCACGCGTAATGGAAACCCAACCTGATTTGATTAAACAGCTGCAAACTAGTGAGTTCACATCCCTCTCAGCCAACCACAAACAGCCACAGCATCAGATAGGGAGTATATATTCAGCATCAGTCATCTTAGAAAAGTCAAAAGAAAAGAAACAGAGTGAGACTGCGAGAGAGAGAGAGAGAGCGCGCGCGCACGAGAGAAATGCAACATTGATTTACAATTGTGGTGACCTCCTCCCAGGCTACCTTTGCATCATCAGCCCGTGGAGGTCTGCTCGCAGTTCCATATATTCGGACACTGCGAGCAGACCTCCCGGACCAAAACATCAGGTTCCTCCTGGGAGAAGTTTGGCTGTCTGACGCTGCTGCTCTCTTCTGCCATGGCGAATTGAGTAAACTCTCATTACGCCTTCATGCGGCACATTTAAGGGCGAGGAGAGGGGCTCATTTGATTGGTGTGATGTGTGTAAAACCCACTCCACGCCTTCTCTCTTCCCTCTTTCCGACTTGCGCAGGTAGGAGGGATGGAGGTGGGACAGATGAGTAGCTGCGCCAGCGCGCACGGTGTGCCAAACTTGCAAAATCCGCCTGGCCACACCCAGTTGGCGAAGCGCAGGTGCGCTGCGCCCCCTGCCTCGCCCAGTCTGCGAAACTAGAGCTCAAAGTGTGGAGAAGAGGGACTGGGAAAAGCGGCGGACCTCCGGGGAAGCCTGCTCCGTTCTCCCCGCAGTTAGGGACCGTTCGCCACAGTACTGCTGCTGGGCAGGGTGGAAATAAGTCCTGCAGAGTTTCAGAGGACCTGGAGAATGTTTTAGGATAGTAATAACATTATATAAGATAATCATATTACAAAGATAATATAAGATTTAATAACATTAAAGACAAAATTAAATTGCAATACTTTTTCAAAACTTGATGATTTTACCTTTCTGTACATTTTGTATACAAAGCAGTAATTTGTGTCTGTTTGTGTGTAATTAATTTGAGTCTTACCTTTTTGTTTTCTTTTCGTATTGCGTATTTTGTATTGTTTTGCGTATCTGTAACTGCAGGGGTTCTCCGGCACAGCGCCGGATTTCTGTTGTGGCGAAGTTTCTGTCCGGCACGGGCAGAAGTACTCTGCAGTGAGGGCATTTCACTCACATTTGCCCCTAAAAATATGTGCGAACCGGGAAAATGATTTAGGTGCACAGTGTGCGAGTAAACACAACCTACTGTTTACCATAATTGGCATCGGACGTTTTTTCATTGATAATCGATCAAATAAATGTATTTTAAAACTCCCTCCTTTGGCTCTGATACAGCCATCTCCCTCCCTGCCTGCAGTCCCCACTGCACTGGACTTTGTAACAGTGTCCTGCCTACAGCCCCCTCTGATTGGTTACACGGCACAAGTGATAGCCGATCAACACTGACGCCTGTGCATGCTTTCACATCATGTCACATTGAGACACAGAGCACAGATGGAGCGGGAGAGGCCAGCAACAGAAACCAGACAGAAACGAAAGTTGCAATAAAAATCCTCTATGCTGAAGTTTTAAAGTCACCACAACATTATATGATCCATTTCAATGTTGACATGCTTGCCCAGAGGCGAAATTTCGACATAACTGCATGTTTAATTCACATCAAGTGCGGTACAATTTTGCAGCCTAAATGATTTAGCTTCTAAAAATAAATAGCAAAAAGTCTGGTAACCACTGAAAGTTTAATCTTTATTTATAAACTCATTAAGCTATAAAAGTTTAATCTGGAAAGTAACGACTAAAGCTATAATCTTTTTGTTCGTTTTGATAATAAACACGTTCCTTTGCAACACATACATTTCTATTTCTTCATTTTGTGACCGCAACACCAAGCCCCCCTCTCCGGAAAAGATTTCAGATTTCAGGCACACAAATCTTCCGTGCTCCACATTTCAGGCACAGATTTTTTTTCTTGCTTTAACCCCTGTAACTGTGTTTGTGAGTGTGAGAGTGAGAGTTTTAAAAGAATATTTTGTCTGCACATGATTTAGAAAAATAAAATAGCCCTCCAGAGGCAGATCAGTACGTTAGTCATTTTTCTTTTGATTAATGAAATGTGTAACCACTAATCCTTAGCCGTAACCCTTCACCATAACATACCACTAGTGTTTTTATCAGTACGAATAGAATATTTTTTACACATAAAAAGCACAAAGATGTTGAAATCTAGGCATATTCTGCCATCATAACTCTGAGAATTCACCAGATTGATGCCTTTAAATCAAATAA